CTGTTACGCAGATTCAGCCATTGACCTAAAAGAAAGCTTGTTGGTAGTCAAACCATGTTGGAACAGTATAATTTCTTTCTTGGGCTCCATCAGACTCTGCTCCCCACCTTTTCTCTTCTGCTCTGGAGTGCTTGAAGTTCTTGCTAGAAGCTTTTGTTAGCTCTCCTGAACTAATTGGGTTTAAAATGCCATACATGTAAATATCATCCTTCATGTCTAGGGCACCAAATTTGTAATAAGAAAGAAGAATGCTCATTAAAAACACACACACAAAAAAAACAATTGTGCAAAAGACAAAAGAATTTGGAAGGGATATATTTTTGGACTTACTGGATCTTTATAAAACTCACAGCCATACTTTGCATCAGTCCAGTTAAGAAGCTTGTTCGCAAGAGGATAAAGGTGTGAGAAAATACACTCAAATCCAAACTTGCAGATCGTATAGGGCACAGGCTGGAAAGAAAAATACACTAAATGGAAGGTTGGTGCCAGGGGGCATGAAACTCATTAACAACTTGAATTAAATTGTCAGGTTCTTACCTGATGGGGAGTCCGGCTCGCAGAGTTATACGCTCACCCTTGCAAAGTAGACACAGACCAGGGTGACCAGGTAAGACGCCACCTGGCCTGTGAGTCTGTGCACGGGGGCTTTCCAGGAAAAGTGCTCCAAGACTCAGTACAGCAGGGATTAGCAGAAGCGTGGTCAAGGGAAGCCAAAATCAGGGAAGCCAGAGGTCAGAGTAGTCCAGGAGGAAAGCCAAGGTCAGAAGCCGGAATTAGACAAGAATCACTGGAACGCAGGTACGGAGTAACAGGAACCAAACAAGGGAACCAGAGTCAATGAACTGACACTGCCCTCAGGGAGAGGCAGTGTCTTATACCTGGCTAATTGGTGATCAGCCACAGGTGTGCTGAGATCGTTGGAGCAGCCACAGAATAACGTCCAGCCCCCAGTGCTGGGTACAAGGCAATATAGACTTCTGGCTATCTCTTGAGCTGATATGGTGGCTCAGAGGCAAAATAGCAGCCCCAGGACTGCAAAGTACCCTGGTTCAAGTCCGTCACCGGGCACTTCTGGGGCGACCTCGTCTGGCCGTCGGGATGTCGCGGTGAGAATCGTGACAGTACCCTCCCTTCAAGAACGCTCTCCGGGCGTGAACAGGTTCTTCCCGGAAATAGTACTCCTCATCTTCGGTCTCAGGATCACTAAGATAGTCTTTGTAATCAAAGTCTACAGACTGGGACTTTATGGTACCAGTTTCGGGTGCTAATGGGAAGAGGTCAAGGTTATTCATGGATTTGGTGCAGGCGGTAAGTACCTTGATCCCAGGAGTCAGTTTCTCTGAGCTTTTTTTCTTAGGTGAGTCACCAGGAGCAGAGCTCACGGCTTTCAAAGCCCTTTCAAACGTTTCCAGATCTGTTCTGTGGACCTTGTTACCATAGGTGCAATCCACAGGTAGTTCTCCTTTGGGCAGGCAGGAAGTGGTGATGGTACCAGTTTTAACAGGAGAGTCTTCTGGAGGTAGTGAATTCTCATGATCACCGATTATGTGTTCTTGAGAGACACTAGCATCAGTAGCCATCGTAGTCTGGGTACTCTTCTGCGTCACGGAACGTGGAAACTTCTGACAGTATCCTTGACATTTTTCTGGCTGTGTTGCCGGGATAACAGGATGAAGGTGAGTAGTACCTACTTGAAGAGGCTTAGGCCGAGTTGGGCGAATAGGGCAGTGGGAGATAAAGTGCCCTCCTTCTCCACAATAGAAACAGAGACAACAAGCCCTCCTTCGTTCTCTTTCACTAGATGGCAGTCTTGTTCTTGTGCGGATGAAGCCAATCTCCATGGGTTCCTCCTTGTCCTCTAGAGTGCCAAGTTCCACATGGGTAACATTATGATGACAAGGCAGGTCCTTGGAGGTAGGTTTAGACTGTAGCGAGATGGGATTCTTGTATTCATAAAATAATTCCTCTTCTCTAGGCAACCGGGTTCTGCGAGAACCTGAAGTAGGCTTGGGAGTTGCTTTCCTTGATGCAAAGCACTGAGAGTCCATTGCGGACATGAACAACTCCCAGGAGTCCAAGACAGTACTTCTCTCCTGCAGCTTCTGGTGTGCCCACGCCTTAATCCGCCCAGTACACAGGTTAATAGCGGAGCGGACTCTGATAAGGTCGGTGGCGTAGGTTCTAGGTTTCAGGGCAAACAGTAGCTCACAATCCTTCTTGAACATCGGGAAAGCAGAACGGGAACCGTCAAACCTGTCAGGCATAATGACATAGGGTTCCGGGTATGTATGTTCCGGGATTGGATGTACTGCTCCTTTAAATGCCAATGAACATCTCTGCAAATCCATAACATTCTGGGACAGGTTGGAGACTTGTTCAGCCAGGGAGGTGAGTAATTTGTATAACTCTGCAGACTCCATATGGTCAGTTCATTATGTCAGGTTCTTACCTGATGGGGAGTCCGGCTCGCAGAGTTATACGCTCACCCTTGCAAAGTAGACACAGACCAGGGTGACCAGGTAAGACGCCACCTGGCCTGTGAGTCTGTGCACGGGGGCTTTCCAGGAAAAGTGCTCCAAGACTCAGTACAGCAGGGATTAGCAGAAGCGTGGTCAAGGGAAGCCAAAATCAGGGAAGCCAGAGGTCAGAGTAGTCCAGGAGGAAAGCCAAGGTCAGAAGCCGGAATTAGACAAGAATCACTGGAACGCAGGTACGGAGTAACAGGAACCAAACAAGGGAACCAGAGTCAATGAACTGACACTGCCCTCAGGGAGAGGCAGTGTCTTATACCTGGCTAATTGGTGATCAGCCACAGGTGTGCTGAGATCGTTGGAGCAGCCACAGAATAACGTCCAGCCCCCAGTGCTGGGTACAAGGCAATATAGACTTCTGGCTATCTCTTGAGCTGATATGGTGGCTCAGAGGCAAAATAGCAGCCCCAGGACTGCTAAGTACCCTGGTTCAAGTCCGTCACCGGGCACTTCTGGGGCGACCTCGTCTGGCCGTCGGGATGTCGCGGTGAGAATCGTGACATAAATGAAGCTGTTACAGTGCCCACAGTGTCACTGTAACAAAATTAAAAATGGGAGTCATGAAATAAAATATTCACCGCTTCCCCAACCCCCCCACCCCATCCCCCAGCGTTAACACACATGAACTAATAAGATATGAACGTAGTAACTTAGACCGTAAGAATGTCGGAGGCTACATAACAAGTATCTGAAATAGAGTGGAGAATGGATTTTTTTATATATTGATATATTGATATATTGTATTCAGATAAATCAAAGTGACACTATAGTCACCAGAACAACTACAGCTTATTGAATTTGTTCTGGTAAATAGAATCATTACATTTAGGCTTTTTGCTGTAAACACTGTCTTTTCAGAGAACAAGACACACAGATACACACACAAATATTCACACAGTCACATCTACATATCTTGACACACGCACAGTCCATGGTTTATATTTGCAGTCACCATTCTGTTAGCTTACCTTTTTCTGCAGGAGGGTGACTTCATTTAGTGCTGCTAACTGCTGGTGTGCGAGGTCGTCAACAGTTCACTCGCCATTGCTGCCTTTCTCCATCCAGTGCAACGCTCCCTACGTCTGGAAAGAAGTGAAAAGCTGCTGGCGCCTGACTGATATGGCTGCAGTGCCTGACTGGGCCCCTGTTCAGCAATATCCATTGGGTGGCTCTAATTGCCATGGGCCACCCAATAGGAAAATCGCAGCGGAACTACAGTGTGGCGAACCATATACTATTTTACCCTGTAATTATCCCTGAACGAGTTATACCCCTAGTGCTGTGCCCCCTCCATGCTGAGCACCCGAGAGCAGCTCTACCCTGGCAGGCATTCGGTTTCCGTAGAGCCGTGAGGGACCTAGTACCAAAATGAGTGGAAGTCTGGCTTGGCCGCATTCCTGTCCGATGCCCGGTCAACTTACCCCTATGTTATTTGAAGGGGTACTATGGCCTAAAGGGCCCATCGCTCCCTAAGAGCCAGTGGGAACCCAGTTTTGTTTGTCTGCAGAAGCTCCCGATAATTGACCGGCTGAACGGACATTTGCTACAGAACTTATTTTGGCATAAGCTTTGTTAGAGGGCCAGTCGAATCTTTACCCTGGTGGCGATTCTCCTGTTCTTCATGGATCTAGGTGCTATTTTGCCAATTTGGGGGCTCGGATCATAGCTCTCCGGGGATATATGATGTGTTCGGGGTTCTTCTGCTTATTTTCATGTTTTTTGTGATATTTTAGCTTAAGATAGGGCTTAAGCGAGGGCTTAAGTGAGGGCTTAAGTGAGGGCTAACTGAATTATTTCCCAGACACAGAGGCACCAGGGTGGGCTTACTCTGAGTTGAATGGGGACCCCAATCCAGGTGCTCCATGTATAAAAGACTGTTCTTTTCTAATAAAACCCAGTTGTACTCCCAGAACTATGTGTCGTCTAGTTACTGGGGGAAAAGGCAATAATTACTGACAAGAGGAGAATTCAGTAGAGATACCCAGTAAGGGTAGTTCACCAGTACCCAGCTCCTCTACACCTAGGGTTCTGCAGAACACACATTGGGAAACACTGGTCTGGAGTTTTACAAATGAAATGGAACAACAAAAATTAGTTACAACTGATATGTAGGTTGTGTTAGATTAGAAAATGCTATGGCAGTAAAAAGGTTAAACGAAACACCTGTGTCTACCTCAGAATGGAGAAATGTGAATGTCACTAACCATATAGCCTTATGGGTGCATATATAAACTCATCAGCAGCATTACCTAACCCTCTCCCCATGTCTGCGTGCTGTGATATTGTACATTACTGGTTTGAAGTACAATATTGACGTAACACACAGAATTACGAATTTTATTAAAGGACACGGAGGCTCTTATTAGGCTTTCCTCTTTCTTTATTCCTCAGCAGCAAAGAAAGCTAAGGTGTTTATTTGTAGAAAAAAAGGAAAAGAAACATGTATAACTACCCTCACAGGGTTAACATTACATCATTATCTCCTATCCAATAGGAGCAGTCCTTCTCTGATATCCTTTCCTGTAACCTCCTCCTCTCCCTCTTTCTTTGCTGCTGCCTCAGCTAAGTAACACTTTGTTTTTTCTCTTAACTGTCATTTGTACTTATATATGTGTGTATGACTTTATTTTAAATTATGCCTGTTTTGTGACCTGACTTAAACTCAGCAGAACGCATTGTGCGTTTGGAGTACACCCCCCCTTCAAGCTAACCCTCCGTGGGGGGGCCCCTTTCCCACATTGTCCCGCCGGTACCCCGCCCCCCCCGCGGGGATACCGGCTCCACACTTGCCGCTGGGTAGTTTATTACCCCCCTCATCGGTCACGCGGCGCAGGGAACCCTCGAGGACCGGACCGGCTCTCTCTCCCGGCGGAGGGTTCCCCCGCCGCGGCCTCTCGTTCGTGAGCGCCGCGCGCGCATGCGCGGCCCGTACTGGCGCCCATCTTAAAGGGGCGGCACTAGAAAAATTTTTGCCGCTCTTTTTTCTCCCTCAGCTCGTTCAGCCCACTGCAGGGCGCGAGCTGATTGGTTTGTTTGCTGTACTGTTAGCTTGCCAGTGATCCCAGGAGCCATTCCTGAGGGAACACTCGGTAAGCTAACAGTACATTCTGTGCTTGTTGTCCTGCTGCCTTGTCTCTTGCCTGTTTTAGTAGCTCATTACTGACACATCAGGTAGCCATATACATAATCCTGTCTTTTAAACCCATGATGCAGACCCCTGAGGCTTTTTCTGCCCCTGGCACCAGTGATAAAGGTGATACTAAGGCCCAGCACGGGCCCTCCGTGGCTGAACCCATATCCCTGCATAGGGACATGGTGGCCCCTCTGGAGCAATTGGACTCTGAGGAGTTCCACTCGCTCCTGGACGCCACCATGTCAAAATCAGTTACCCAAGCTATCTTTACCGCCATGGGGGTTATGTCGGATAACTTGTCACACTCTATTTCGAGTGCCATTAAGGCGTCTAACCCCAGCATGACTCAAGCCAGGGCCGCAGAGGGGGAACCTTTAAGCAGAGAGGGCCGTAAGGCCATGAGTAAAACCCACAATGTGGGAACACATGCCTCCAAAACTAGACTGACGGACAGGGTACGTCCTGTCGCACCTGAGGTCGTGGGGCCCCCACGAAAACGAGCCACCCGCCGGGCAAAAGCGGCGCGGACATGGAAGAGGGCAAAAGCCCTGTCAGATTCTTCCGACACTGATTCGGATAGTGAGGAGGTTTTGAACGGGTCGGACCAAGCCGACTCAGAGGAATGGGAGTTTTCCTCCCCGGACCAGAGTCCGACACGCACTCCAGCCAACCCCGTGCATGACACGGCGGATGAAACCACTATTCTGGACCCTCAGGGCGAACCTCTGTTCGACCCAGACACCTTACAAAACCCGAGATCGGCGGAGTGGTATCCAACCGATCATGTAGCACGATACATAGCGGCCAGAATCCGCAAACCTTTGGATAAGGCCACCAGGCAGAAACTACGGGCTGAATGCCCACGCCCGACTGTGCCTGACATGGCCTGTGCTACACCTGATATCGACCCCAAAATAGCACAGTTCTTGGGTAAGTCTGGCTGGAAGGCGAAGAAGGGACTTGATTACTCCCTACGCCACTGCCAAGATAAAGTGCTGGATACATTGGGCCCTAGTGCCAAGATTTTTGAATTGGTCGAAGCGGCCTTAAATGAGGGAACGCCTCTTGATTTACTAGCCATTAGAGGCTGGGCCCAACGGTCGATCTGCCTCATCGGCAACGCTAACGCTGCACTGGCCACAGAAAGGCGCAAAACTATTTTAATGAAAATCGAGCCCAAGCTAATTAACATGGCTCTCACCGAACCGGGACCGCAAGCCAAGGGTCTCCTGTTCGGTGACAACTTTGTCAAAGAATTGGGAACGTATGTGAGCACCTTTACGGCCCTAGACAAGGCACAGACAAATATAAAAAGAGTGTTCTCTCCCAGAGTTTTTGGTGGGGCCGGCAGACACCGGGGCCGTCTGCCCGGCCGTTCTCCCCGCGGTTCCTACCGGGGATACAGAGGTCCCGCCACGGCTAGATTCCAGCCGCCAGAGAGCCGTACGCCCTCACCCTTCTTCCCGGTCAGGGCCAGAGCATGGCAACCTCGAGGACCCAGAGGCAACTCGTACAGCCGTCGACCTTATGGTAAGTGTATTACCTCCCCCCCTCCCGGGTGTACCGACTGTGGGGGGCAGACTGTTACACTTTGTAGAGTCCTGGCAACAGCTGACTGCGGACGTATGGGTCCTCAACACCATCAGGGGTTACCACATAGAGTTTGTGCGGACCCCGGTCCAAACACACAGACCACACCGCATAGTTTTCTCCACGCAAGACAAGGGCTTGGTGAGCGAGGAGATTCGCACCCTCCAAGCGAAGGGCGCCATATACCAGGTCCCTTCACCATCCCCTGGGTTCATGAGCAATCTGTTTCTGGTACCCAAGAAGGGCGGCGGAGTGCGCCCAGTCATCAACTTGCGGCCACTAAACGCATTTGTGCGGTACCACCATTTCAAAATGGAGGGTATCCACTGCCTGCGAGACCTGCTCAGGTTAGGGGACTGGATGGTGAAGCTGGACCTCCAAGATGCATATCTTACAATCCCCATTGCGGAAGAGTGCCACCACCTGCTCCAATTCCAATGGGAAGCGACAATGTGGCGATTCCGCTGCCTTCCCTTTGGTCTCTCATTGGCCCCTTGGTGCTTCACCAAGCTGCTGAAGCCTGTGGTCGCCTTTCTACGCAGCAGAGGCGTCCGGATGATCATTTATCTGGACGATATGCTGATCATGGCGCACGAAGCCCGTCAATTACAACAGCACCTGACATGGGCAGTGACACTGCTACAGAATCTAGGATTTGTCATCAACTGGGAGAAATCGGTGCTTACCCCGTCCCAGAACATGGAATTCTTGGGTTTTCACATAGATGCGACTACCGGTACGCTCAGCTTACCAACGGACAAAGTAAAACTCATCAAAAAGGAGATCCGCAGAACACTCAAGAGGCCGGTACTGACACTCCGGCAACTAGCCAGAGTAATCGGACTCCTCTCAGCCTCCATTCAGGCAATATTCCCGGGGCCACTACACTACAGGGCCCTACAGCGTCTAAAGGCCGCACAATTACGCTCAGGGCATGCGTACTCCGACTCTGTACCACTCGACTACGAAGCCAAACAGGAACTCACATGGTGGCTGCTACACATGGAGGCGTGGAACGGCAGAGCAATATTCGGGTCTGCCCCGGACTTCATCGTAGAGTCCGATGCGAGCACGCACGGTTGGGGAGCGCGCTGCGGGCCTACCTCCACCGGAGGAACCTGGTCGTGCGCAGAGAAAAAAATTACACATCAACGGTTTGGAACTCATGGCGGGATCTTTCGCACTGAAGAGCCTCCTCGGGGGCATAACCAATTGCTCCATCGTCCTACGCATGGACAACATTTCCGCAGTCCGCTACATCAACCACCTCGGTGGCACGAGATCGAAGATACTGGCGGACCTGGCCAAGGAGTTCTGGCAACACTGCCTGGAACACAACATCTCGGTCCAAGCGGAATACATCCCGGGTATGTCCAACGTGGTAGCGGATTGGCATTCCAGACACATACAAGACGCCAGCGACTGGCGGCTGGACCGCGAGGTGTTCTTACAGCTTCAAGCGCTCTGGGGCCCGATGCAAATCGATCTGTTCGCATCCCGGCTGAACTCACAACTGCCAACGTTCTTCAGTTGGAGACCAGACCCAGACGCACTAGCAGCGGACGCTTTTCTCCAACACTGGCCGAACAGCCGATTATATGCCTTCCCTCCGTTCTCCCTCATAGCTCGCACGATAGTACATCTCAGACGTACTCAAGCGACCCTGGTCCTCATAACTCCGTTTTGGACAACCCAACCGTGGTTCCCGACCCTAATGGAAATGTCCATGGACTTCCCGAGACGACTTCCGGACCCCTGGTTCCTTTTATCAGACCCAGAGGGCAACCCACATCCCCTCATGACCCAGGGGCATCTCAAATTCTTAGCGTGGCTCCTTTCAGGGGACCCTGGAGCATACCGGACGTTCCACAGGACACTGTCGAACTACTGGCGGGAGCCTGGGCACCTGGAACTAGACGCTCCTACCTCTATGCCTGGAACGGATGGGCTAGTTGGTGCATGGAACAACAAATGGATCCCGTACGTGCTCCTGTAAGTTATCTGTTGAGGTTCCTCACCAACCTACATAATCAAGGATTGGCCTACCGGACCATCAACGTCTATAGATCAGCAATCTCGGCAGGGCACCAAGGTATAGAGGGAACCCCGATGGGTCAGCAACTTCTGGTATGCCGTCTCCTGAGGGGAATTCGTTTTGCCCGCCCACCACAACCCCGATACTCGTCATTGTGGGACGTCAACTCAGTGCTGACGCTGTTAGAGTCCTGGCCTCAAAACGAAGGCACTTACGCTCAAACAACTGTCAGCGAAGCTCACCATGCTCCTCTGCCTGCTATCTTGCAAGAGGGTGTCAGACGTTAGAGCACTGGACGTTGATGCACGCTCCTTTACTCCCACAGGAGTCTCGTTCAACATCTCCAGGTGTACAAAATCGTCAATTACATCAGTCTCATACCCTTCGTTCCCACACAACGAGAAGCTCTGTCCAGTACACTGCCTACGAGAATATGAGAAACGAACCTCGGAATTCAGGAAATCAACACATCCGGAATTGTTTCTGGCCATCAGACAACCACATCAACCTGTCTCCACGGTAACCCTCGCCCGCTGGGTGAAATGGATAATGACGCTAGCTCACATAGATACCTCCGTATATGGCGCACACTCTACTAGAGGAGCCATGGCATCCAAAGCGTTCACGTTAGGTTGTAGATTAGAAGACCTCATGAGAACGGCAGACTGGTCCAGGGAATCGACGTTTAAAGAATATTACTTTCGGCAAACAGAGCACGTGTCGAGCCTGGTTATTTCACAGCTTTGAACTAGCCTAATAAGAGCCTCCGTGTCCTTTAATAAAATAACCAGATTTTACTAATTACATGACGTAAAGTCATGATTTTATAAAGGACACGGAGGCGAGTATTAGCCCACCTGGAACAGATACACAAGTTGTGTATCCCAACCCAGGTACGTACTAAGTATTTTGGTAGAAAGAGTTCCCTTTTTCCTTCTTCACGTAAGTGGTTCTTGGTAATACATAACGTGGTTGACTATGACAGATTTGGTTAAACATAACGGTTTCATAAACAGCTCAAGTTTGATACATAAGAGTAAAACGACAATAGTTGGCAAGGACACGCTTTACCACTATTTTCTTTGTTTTTACAGCGTGAACAATCCTACAACTCCTAGTATGGACGACGAGTTCAAGTTCAAGGGGATCAGTTCTGGAGGACTCCAGCGTTTATTCCCCATGGAAGAGTTCACGGTCAAGTTCAATGTTCAACTGTTTTTCTGTTTAGGTTATGTTCGACCGAGTGGATAGTTACTTGGTACAGACACGAACTTTAACTTCGGCAACATCAAGAAAGAGGAAGAGGAGGAGGTTACAGGAAAGGATATCAGAGAAGGACTGCTCCTATTGGATAGGAGATAATGATGTAATGTTAACCCTGTGAGGGTAGTTATACATGTTTCTTTTCCTTTTTTTCTACAAATAAACACCTTAGCTTTCTTTGCTGCTGAGGAATAAAGAAAGAGGAAAGCCTAATACTCGCCTCCGTGTCCTTTATCAAATCATGACTTTACGTCATGTAATTAGTAAAATCTGGTAATTCTCTGTCAGTCTCCAGAACAGACACACACTTTGACCCCGCCCACTAGTGATGTCACCTTCCTAGTTAATGCTAGAAGCTGCTAGCACTGCCTCTGTCTACACCTCTTACAGAATCCACGCTGTACACAGCCCCTCCCCTTCTTACCATATATGGAGCACACCAGAAAATCTCAAGAACTCTCCAGTACTTTAACTAGTCAATATAAAAGCGAGCTGCAGCTCTGACTGCATTCAGTACTGAGAAGCAAGACAGCACAAACTGACAAACAGACAGATTGTCTACAGCCCAACTCTGACAAGAAGCTCCAGAGAAAATCCTGAGAAGATGTTTCCTATCAGCCTCCTCCAGCCCTCTCACACTCCTCTGTGTGTCTACAGAGAGCCTGCACTCACGCTCTGGCCAGCCACACGGCTCATCTTTGGGCAGCTGGAAGATGACATGCTGAGCATGAGGAACGAGGTGGAGAGGAGAATGCAACGTGTGAACCAGGCTTATCGGCTCCTCTCTCAGGACATGGACATGACAAGGAGACTAGCACAGAGCAGGCAGACTGGGGACAAAAAGAGTGAGCAGGACTCTCTCAAAACTGACAAAGAGGGGAAGGAGCACTTTGAGCTCAGCCTGAATGTGAGTCCCTTCTCTCCTGATGAACTGACTGTGAAAAATGCAGGAAGGAGACTGATTGTGACGGGAAAACATGACCAGAAAAGGGACACTGAGAATGGGAGCTACTTTCATGAATACAGAGAGTGGAAGAGAGAAGTTGAGCTCCCAGAAGATGTGAATCCTGAGGAAGTGCTGTGTTCCCTGTCTGAAGACGGACAGCTCATTATTCAGGCTCCTCGCCTGGCACTACCAGCTGCTAAAGAGAGACCCATTGCCATCACCATGAACCGGGCACCAGTAAATGGAGAGGGGATTCCTCCTGAGCCCCAGAACAGCAGTGTGAGCGGAGATCCAGAGAATGGACTAAATGCTTCCTGACAACTTTAAAGGACTGTTTTTACATCAATTTAGCTGTTATACTGCCTCCTGAACATATTTTATACATGTGTCGCATTCATGTTGTTTTAAAACCATTCTATTATAATATTTTGTTACTTTTTAATAAATAGTTTTTTTTTCATATCTATATGTTATCTGAGAGTGTTTTGTTTAATGAACAATAACATTATACATGTTTTACAATATAAATGTTTTCCATAATAAATATACATTTCCCACTATAATAATAATATGTCACTAATAGTAAGAAATGTGAATGTGCTTAATCTCTTAGATACCAATGGACAGCAAACAAAAAAATGGCAGCACTCTACAAGAACCCTAAAATAATAAAGTAAATATGAGGGTGTAAAAGTGTAATTTGGGTAAATCACTCTTTGGAAGGAACATCATTTATGATTTATGGACTGGTTTCATTGTATTCCACATTCATTGGGACGCGTCCTGTAAAAGGTCGATAAACAATCCAGTGTAACACCTCTCCACAACTAAATGACATTTGGAATTACATTTTTATTATGGTGTCGGTAGTTAAAACCGGATGTCTGTGTTTGATAAACGGAGTTACATGAAGTATAAATTATCATTTGTTAATAAATATACTTCCACAAATGTTGAGGGCAGCTGCAAGATGAAATCATTTAAAATATATTTACTTGGAAACCTTCCCAAATCATCCACTTTGGTTATTAAAAGATTAAAAATCACAGTACACCACTGTATTAAAACACTAAAACAACATACAAGCACCCCATCAAAACTCCAACACTGTACATTACATTATAGCGCCAGTAAATGATTCAGTGCTATACAGATATACAACCTAGAAATTCTGACTTGGGCGCCTTGGAAAAATATTGAAATAGTAAGGGAGAACTGAACCAAAAAAGTTTGGAAACCACTGGGCTACAATGTTCTTCAACCCAAATACATACAAAACAAAAACAACACTTACCATATTAATAGTCAATAAGTGTATAGGGATTCACAGAATACTCCTTTCTACAACATTAGAGATTTTGCCTTTTAGCAGAAAGCAGCAAGGTGAATTGTTAGTGTAGGACTCACCTAAAAGGTATATCTTAAAGGACCACTATAGTGCCAGAAAAACATACTAGTTTTCCTGGCTCTATATGGTCTCTAGGTCCCCCCCACCCTCAGGGCCCCCCTCCCGCCGGGCTCTAGGGGATGGAAGTGGTTAAATTTACCTCATTTTCCAACGCCGGGCGGGGGACTCTCCTCCTCCTCTTCTCCTCATCATCGGCGCGCGCGCATTCAGCCAGTCCATAGGAAAGCATTCTCAATGAAAATCACAGTGAGAAGCGCGGAAGCACCTATAGTGGCTGTCAATGAGACAGCCACTAGAGGCTGGATTAACCCATAGGTAAACATAGCAGTTTCTCTGAAACTGCTATGTTTATAGAAGAAAGGGTTAATCCTAGCTGGACCTGGCACCCATACCACCTCATTAAGCTGAAGTGGTCTGGGTGCCTATAGTGGTCCTTTAAGGCAGCAGATGCACTTACACATTAATGGCCATTGCAGTGGTACTAAAACTGTTATTTAAATGTACATAGGGATTTGGGGTAGTGAACAGGTAATTTTATGAGAGAGAAACTGTACTAAAAGATTAAAGACTATAATTTTTTGTTATTTTGTTTGCTATTTTGAAAACATAAACCAGGTAAATCTGCACATTCAAAAACACAGGCAGAATTGCCAGGGTCGCAACAGTCTGGACAAGGACCACTCCCTGGATGTGGCCTGCCAAGGGGAATGGCAGAGTGGCAGATGTCTTCTGTTTGCAAAACTGCAACTGAACATACCATTTATTTCGCAATCTGTTAACTATTAGACAAATTTTTCTAGAGCTAGTGTGGTCCTCACCTATGGTTCGTGCAGACTACTTTAAACACTCCCTCACGCACCCTACACTCATTAAATGTATCCGGTTACCATGACAACGCTCAGGCTCATTCACTGTGCCAGCTGGAACAGTTTATAATGTGGTCTGCACAAGCCGAAGGTGCAGACCACACCCTTCCTTCTCTGGACCACCAGGGATACTTTTGGACGCTTACGTGGACCACAAGGGAATAATGGATTATAACTCCCTCCCTGCAAATAGGTAAGCAGGAGGAGGGATACATAGTTGGCTTGCGTCCATCATGTTCAGCCTTCCTCACATGTGTTTTTGCTGTAGATGCTAAAGGAGGCAAAAAAACCCAGTCTGAAGCGCTTCCATATTTTATAACAAACTACGAAAAAAAAAACTTCGTAACCCCAAAATAGCAGTCAGATATCTCCTTGGAACAAGCAGCTATTACCCCACTAATTAGAAATTATATCCCTGTATGTTATGTATTTGCACGTATTAATTAGAGTTGAGCGAACCCGAACTGAAAAGTTTGGGTTCGTATCAAACATTAAGTTTTTTGGACCCCGGACCCGAAAACGGACATATCACTGTATGTTCGGGTTGGAGTTCGGAGTTCAGCGATTTAATGACTCGTTTTGAAAGGCTGCAGGGCAGCCAATCAACAAGCGCTATACCGCAAGTAGGGGTATGTCTATTAAACAGTGAGCAGCCTGTGGCTGCTCACTGTTAAAAATGAAAAAATTCCCCCCTCCTGAGCCCCCACCCACGACGCTTGAGTGGGTGCTTTTAAACTAAAGGGGGGACCTATTGCCCCCCCACCCCCATCCATGAGCAGTGGGTGGGGGCCTAAATAACAATAAGGGGGGGACCTAATGTCCTTCCCCCCAGCCTCCACCCCTGCGCGGCGGGTGGGGGCCCTAAATAACAATAAGGGGGGGACCTAATGTCCTCCCCCCGGCCCCCACCCCTGAGTGGTAGGTGGGGGCCATAAATAAAAATTGAGGGGGGACCTACTGTTCTCCCCCCCGGCCCCCACCACTGAGCAGTGGGTGGGGGCCATAAATAAAAATGGGGGGCACTTTTTTTAAAGTGCGTCGGTTATTCTGGATTTTTATTTGGCCTTTTTTGGGGCTGAAAAAAGAAGATTTTAGAAGAAAGAAGACATCAAATGGTAAGTCTATTTTTTTTTTTACAGGTATTTAGACAAAGGTATATAAAAATATAGATTTTATTCTAAAAATAGGTATAATTATATAAATGTTAAAATCAGAAGCAAAAATTCTTACACAGATGGTACAAAACTGTGGGAACCTTTTTCGAAGTCTCACCACCCTCAGTCTTAATCCTCTGCCGTTTGCTGACTGTTAGAAGCCGTCTTGCAGACAGCTGCAGAGTCCTGTGTATCCAGTAGCTGGAGGGTAGACTTGCCGCGTGAGTTCCACTTCGGTTCACTTTGCATTCCAATCTGTGTCAGTGAGATGCAGCCTTACACGTTTCGTGACTATCTGTCACTTCATCAGGAGTCTCCTGCTTCTGATTTTAACATTTATATAATTATACCTATTTTTTGAATAAAATCTATATTTTTGATGAACGACATGTTTCTGCAATTTTACTATGAAGACAAATGGCTGGTGTTGGATGCAAAACAGTGTCGGCTATCTGATTTGATTTATTTGTAGAAAGGTTTATTACACATTTCTACATTTCTCCATTCAGTGGACTGTGTTATAACATTTGTGTATCACACTAGTATATGCTATTATCAGTGTGCTACTAGATTAATATTGTGCTCCCATTGGCCATTTTTCCCCCTCTGTTTCAATAGAAGGGAGTTTAGCCGTATCCATATAGGAGCAGACAGTTTTGAAAGACCAACTAGGACTGTTTTGCTGATTCATAGTGCTCTAAATCAGTAAGGATTGTAACTATTATCAGTCTCTTTTGATGTTGATACAATCTAGTGCTATTTAGATTGTGTATATTGTAGATCATACAATCTTTATTATCTATATTATTGATTCATTGTATAACACTGTTTAGCATACTCACTACTTCTGCACATTTCCAAGTATTGAGGTTAAAGTATTTTAGAATTGAAAATGGCAGTAACTATCTCCTGGTTGCAGCAATCTGATTTTTTCAATTAGATTTTTTCTTTTTGCTATTTTTTTACTCATAAGAAAACACATACTCTATGCTAATCTTTCTCTAATTTATGCTTTCATCTTTCAAGTAAATCCATACCCCCTAACAGCAGTTTCCAGTGAAGCTGAAGTCAATGAGCAGGGTAAAAGGGTGGGCCAATTATGTGAATCACGTGACCAGAACTGCCAAAAGGGGTGAACATGCCCAAAAAGGGGGCATGTCTGTCCAAAGAATTGAAAGGCAAACCTGGCGTCAGTGTTCCTATGTATCACAGTGTCAGTGTCCCCATGTCGCCCAGTCCCCTAGTCTCCCAGTGTCCACATCTCTCTGTATGTTCTGTGTCACTAGGATACTAGGGGACACTGAGAGACCCAGAGACACTTGGGGACACTGGGAGACATGGGGGCACTTGTGGATACAGACATGGGGAAAATGGTAAACATGGGGACACTGAGACATTTGGAGACACTGAGAGAAATGGGGATAAAGACACTAGGGACACAGAAACATAGGGATCTAGACACTGGGAAACATGGGGACACTGAGGCATTTGGGGACACTAAGGCACTAGGGAAACAGAGACATGGGAACATAGACACTGGGAGACTAGGGGACACTGGGAGACATGAGGACACTGAGACACTGGCTGGGAGGCATGGGGAACCTGAGACACTTGGGGACACTGAGAGACATGGGGGCACGTGTGGGCATAGACATGGGGACATTGGGAGACATGGGGACACAGACACGAGGGACACTGGCTGAGAGACATAGGGACACTGGGAGACATGGGGACACTGAGACACTAGCTGGGAGACATGTGGACACTGGGAGACATTGGGACACAGACATTTGGAGACACTGGGAGACATGGGGGCACTGTGTCCCTAGTGTCTCTGTGTCCCAAGGTGTATCCCAATGTCCCTATGTCTCACAGTGTCCCCAGGTCTCCCAATGTCCCCTAGTGCCTCAGTGTCCCCATGTCTCCCTGCTGGCTTTCCCCCCATCCTTCAGTTACCTGAGCTTTAGGCTGTCTCTGCTGTCT